TATATATATATATATATATATATATATATTTTTTACATACATATATGTGTGTATGTATATATATATATAAATATATATAAATATATACATATATACACACCTACATATATATGTGTATTACTAATGAGGTGTAATAATGTGGTCCATTATATTGTCTTCATTTATCTATTCATTTTTGTCACAGCTCTCTCTCTCTCCCTCCTCCTCTCACTCTCTTTCTTTCATCTGCGTCTACGTCATGCTGGACACAGGACTGTAGATCTTATATATGTCTGATTAGGATCTTTTGTTACCTGGATACCAGATTGGTTCCACGCTGCAGTGTATTAACACACATCACAGCACTACAGTACTTGATAAGTCTGATTCCACTTAATGTTCTTTGATGGCTGATCTTGGAGGTGGTCACGGTCACGATCTGACGGTGGGCACAACAGTGTTAATGCACATGTATGCTATTACTGCTCTCTCTCTATCACACACACACACACACACACACACACACACAGACCTGAAATGGTTTCATGCTCGGTCATCATCTCCTCCTGAACATGACAATCACAGAGCTCGGGGGTGGTTGGACAAGCAGTCGAGACAAAACAGAGCTCCGGAGGCTACGAAGAAATCATCGCTGGAGCAGTGAAGTCTGTGAGAGTCGCACAGATGGCTTCAGGTCACAGAGGACGGCAACCAATTATAAGGCCAGACGTTTACACACACCTTTATCTGTACACGTACATAAAGGCAGAATCTGCAGAACGTGCGCCTGAACATTGAGCATGTAGCCTCCTCTCTTTATAAACTGGTGAAAATGCAGAGCTCTGAGTTGAAGACATTGCCAAGAAATCAGTAGGAAAAACCAACGTATCTATCTTTAATGGTTTCCTGTTTTCTTGGCCTAAACAGAGGGTCCTCGGTCTACAACGTCCTCAACAACATTAGCCTGTTGTACGCCATACATTAGCCTGTGCTACATTTACTTTCTTTTATTTGTGTTGTTTTTTTGGGAACATTTTGGATTATGGCTCCCAGGTTTACGTCAGACTGTTCTGATGTTTTTATGTTGTAGATTATGATGTTACCACTGTGTCAGCGAAGCTGGGGTAAGTCAAGAACCCTTTGTATTTTACTTATTAAAATTGTAATCACTACCAATGGCTCAAGGAAGGAAAAAAAATAGAGAACGATTAGTGTGACTGAAGAGCTCAAAGCCGTTGTTACACACTGAAACACTGTTGTTGATATTAACCCGTATCTATCTACTCTATCTACTCTATCTCTACATCTCGGAGCCAAACGACACAGAATGTGAAGTTTGGATCGCAGTAGGTAACAGAAAAAGAACTTCACACGCCTTTGTGCCAATGAGGAAACTCAAGCTGTGGTGTTTATGTCGTACAATGTGACAGTGTCAGCTGCATGCTATGATGAAGACATTAGGGGTGTGATCACGGTATTAGCCCAGAAAGAGGATTTCCACTTAACTAAAGGAAGCAATAGAGAGCAGGGGTGATTTAAATTTAGTGACAAGGCTTTAAATACCAGCCAGGGATCACACTCACGCCCTTTGGCAAAGTAATTATTCACTCTCTTAGAAGGAGATCAGGTGTGAATGTGTGGCAATGTGTACACACATACTTTCGCTGAGTTAGCTGGCATCTTTATGAATGTGTGTGTGTGTGTGTGTGTGTGTTTGTTTGGTTAAAGGAGAAGGGAATGAAGTAGGTGTGAAATGTTACAGTTTCTCGTCTTTACATGAAGCTGAGAAACCTTTATGCCAAACTCCTCAGAGCAGAGGATGGGCGCCGAGATGAAGGCTCACATCAGCTGATAAACATGAATAAGAAGAGAGGAGGAGACATTCAAACAAGAGCTGGTTAAGGTTAGCCTTCCACCTCTCCATCACTGTCTCCCGCCTGCTCCTTCTCACTACTGTTCATTTTTTTCCTCTCTCTTCTTGTAACCTTCAGATAGAGGTAGCGTTCTCTCCCAGGGAGGAGCTTTCTCTCCAGCTGAGGCCAGACAGAGGCTCAGGTTGATGGTATGGGAGTCTCATTGGGAAGCTGTCCTTCAAAAACTGCAGAATGATGGATTTCTTGGCCCTGTTTTTGCTCCTCTACTTTGCTTTTTCAACACGTCCTCAGTATTTTTTATCCTCAAAAGTGTTCTTTTTCCCAATTTCCTTCCAGAACCCTTTAATGCCTACATGTTTTCCACACGCTTGAAGAGTTT